GGTCTTAATTTGAGATGAAATGTAATGACATCTCTGGTGACAACAGAATCCGGCATAAGAGAAGAAATCCATTCCGTTCAACGTCAACCACTATTTTAAAATCAGAATGGATTGTCTTGCATGAAGCCTGAAACATGGCCATGCATTTCAGAAGGGTGCTTAGAGGTATATAGATTACTTTTACCGCACTAATCTGTTTTCAGGATGTTTAAATAAGCACGCCACCTAGTCATAAATTCAGATTACTGCAGCAGGTGAGGGACGCCAGAGAAAGTTCATGCTGGAGTTACAGGTTAAAGGCTTTCAGAAAGGAAGAGAACATGTAGAAGCAACAGTTGACCTGGAAGAGGACCTTCAACTGACTAAATCTGAATCTATTCCTAGGTCAAAAGAAGATCACAGCTAGTTTTGGTGGACACTGTCTCCTGGCTGGCAACACTTTGATGGTGCGCCCCAGAACGACACTGGGTTAAGTGCTCCCATAAAGACCCATATGTTTCCTGCATGTTCTCGTTCAGGATTCCCACATGTAGCATAAGCTGCTAATGCCCGACTTCCATAGCGACGAGGTCAGAATCCATAATACACCTTTAATTCAGTTTCCATCAAAAACGTTGCTCACAGTGGGGTGGGGGGTGCGTAATGACCATGCGAGAGGCCCAATTTAGTCATCATAGGTTGCTTCCTGTGAAGGTCCCATCTACAGTCTACATGGGTTTCAATCTGGTTTAACCAGTGTTGCATGAGAACAAAAAAGGCTGTTCGGAGCAATTTTGCTAGTCATTTACATGACTACTTCCTCCACTGGTTTATCGGCCAAGCCTTCGATCCCATCTGGGCAACATTTGTCAGCTGAGGATTTGTGTACACATCACATCAGGTATAAATCAAATGTGTTGAAATTCGAAAGTAACGGACGAAAGAGCAACAAAGAAAAATGAAAGATCCGTGAGAATAATTGAATGTGAATTCACATCAGCTTCATTCCAAAAATGTTTTTCAAAAAACAAAAAAAGCGAGAGAAAAATTAACCAGATCTTTGATTCATATTAGGCCTCCTATTTGCAACAGATGAAGTTGGCTGCTAAAATGAGTGGCATTTGGATGTGGAAATGATATGTGTAAACTATGTAATGCGAATGTTTTAGCTAAGCTGTGTTTAATTTTGTACCCTGATGAAGTGCATGAGAAACCTGTCTCCCCTTAGCTGTCTCATTGAATCGTATGGATATAATTTCATCCATTTACGTTTTTCTGCTCTTTGCTGTGGTTGCCAGGGGGCATTTGGAAACAGACAGATTAAAGGCACATGTTCGCTTTCGCCTGTAGTTTTTAGCCACTCCATCTGAGCTCCGCTGTTCTCCGTGCCGAAAGATGTGTCGGTGGTTTCTCTTTTACAGGTCACAGTTACTCCAGGCGCTTAGCGGTAAACCTCGTAACACCTCTCGTTCTCCAACAGGAACCAGAATCGATTTCGTACAAGTACTGATCACAGAACATCGGCATAACCCAGAGACAGACCCCGTATTGCATATCTGAGAGCGCTGAGGCAATTTGAATGTCACAACGAATTACAGAAAACGTGTCTGGGTGTAAGAAAAGTCATGGTGCTCATTAAAATGTGCCTTTCAGTCCACTAATTACGAGTAATAATATATTTAATGCTTGTTAGTTGCTGAAGGTTTTAATGTCAGAAAAAATGCATGCCTGAGGGAAGGTGAGATTGGTAGTTACAGTATAATGGGGAAGTATGTTTTATGTTTCAGAGCACCTCTGAATGTTAACGGGAACAGCAGTGGACCTTTAACTCCATGGGAAAGAATGTGGCCTGAATGCAATTCCCATAATAAGCACATTTTCTCTTCCTCTCAATCCTTTTTTCTCTATCAGAGCTCAGTGTGATGTCATCAAGCGACAAGACGTGGCCTTATTTTTACTCGAAAATGTGCCATAATGGCTGGCTTGTGTTCTACATGCATTTAAGGGTATTAATGAACTGTTTTTTCTTGCGAGTGCTTGTGTACACTAAGGGCTTTTAGCCGACATTTTCGGCCGCAATCATGCTTCATTTCCCATATAGTCATCAGGTTAGGGTTGAGCGGTCTCCACCAGCCTGCGTGGTCCACAATCATCCGTGATTGTGGCTGTGCGCCCCTGACAAAAATGTCAGCCCGAACTGTCACTCTGTGTGTATACAGCAGATCCAGAGGCCCACTTCGGAAAGATGGCGTCAAATGACTTACCACCTTCCACTTTCGACGGTTATCACTCTGTTTACCCTCACACAGGCCTTCAGAGAGGAACGCTAAACACATTTATGGCAATTAATGTGATTAGTGGGCTAAACTGTTTTTACAAATAAAATCAAAGGGTAGTGGAGACTTAGGAGCTGTCATGGTTGGTTTATAGCAGTTGGTTTAAAAATGCAACGTATATTCAGTGTGTTTGGAGTCTCACTCTTCTCTTAGATTTTTATGATAAACGTATGTGTGTATCTCAGAAACTTCACATTCCTTGGTTAACATTTGGGGATGTTTTGATAGATGTTGACATCAGTTGTAAAACCGGTTGCATTAGAATTATTTGGAAAATAATGTTCTGTGCTTGGCAAATACAGATGCCTTTTTGTGTTATTATATAAAAGAGAATGTTGTGTTCTAAAAAAGTAGAAAACAAATGCCAGAGATATGGAAAGGCAGAGAGACAATGAAAGAAATTCCTCCCATTCATGTGGATTAAACTCTGGCAGATTGCTGTGTTTGCATGGGATCACAGAATGCATAGCTGTGTTTGTAAGGTATCCCAGAATGCTTTGCACTTCGTTCCATTGGCAGCCGATCCTCGCGCTAATGGTGGGCTTTACATGATTAGCAGGATTCTCTCTGAGGACCCATAAATTCAATTTAGCCTGAAATTTGTATTACATTAAAGAAACCAGTGAAAGAATGATTATTTCCCCTATACATAAATACACACATTTTAAGACATACATAATCGCAGTGTTTGTTTTTTAAAACTCAGGTTTTCGAGACGTATTTTAGGAGTCAGTACGGGGCATATATCTCAAGCTTGCCTGGATTTCAGAGACTTTATTACTGTAAATTCTATGTTGTGGGTATGTTCAGACTGTTTTCATGCTGTGAAATAATACAGGCGCACGTTGACATTATGAGGTTTGAACGTCCAAAAGCCCCAAGCAAATGTGTCTCAACAACTGTGTCGCTCCATTGTGTGAGCTGATTAAATTAATGTGTAAAAGTACGTGGCCAGTTACAGTTTGGATTGATATTGCCCAGAAAAACCCCACACCCTAAATAATAAATCTCTGCAATTAATTCAACTTCAACTACTTGACATAAGAACTCCAATAAAACGTTGTTTTGTAGATAAATTCTATTTTATGTAATATATAAACTTTTATGTACTTTTATAAGAGGGAAGTTTGATTTATGGATGTTTGTACTAAAGAACTTTTGTAACTTTTGAGTTTGGACACATTAAATTAATCAAAAGCGGATGCAATTACTTTTCATATTATTTATATTAAAAATAAATGTGGTTATTTTGAACGTTCTATTCATTAAAGACTCCTGAAAAAATTTATCACAGTTTCCACAAAAATATTAAGCAGCATTTTAGCATAATAAGATATCCTGAGCACCAAATATTAGAATAATTTCTGAAGGATCATGTGACACTAAATACTGGAGTAATAAATGCTGAAAATTCAGCTTTGCCATAATAAGAATTCAGTTCATTTTAAAATAATGTATTTTTCACAGCTAGCATTTTGTTTATCCTAAATACAAACAATTAAATACAATTTCCACACTTAATTTAACACATAATTTGACGAAATTAAAGCTCCTTGGGAAAATGAACTTTTGAAGAAAAAAAAACATTGAGGCAAACAATTTGTAATCCTTGAAAAATTGAGAGAAATAACTTTCACACTCTAAATATTTTAATGGTTTATGATTTTCACTTTTTATTTATATTATCATAGTTTTACACAATAATTATTTTTTAATTATGGATTTTAATTATTTTATTCTTTCTTTCTTTCCTTTTTTTTATGTTAATAGCCTTAATAGCCAGGCCTCATGGCAAAGTGTCTCTGGTGCAACATTTCATTTGTGCAGAACCTAAGTTTACTTTACAAGCACTAGTATTTTTTTCTACCGAAAATGCAAATCCAGTTCTGTCTGTGTGTGTAAATGTGTGTGAAACTGTAACTGGCTGATGCTTTTTCTTGTTTCCACATTCTTTTAATGTACCATATAATAATTTTGCACACACAAACACACACACTGTATAATCCAGGTCACTCAATATATCCCGACCGTGGCAGTCTAAGGTTTCGCCCCGTATTAAATGGCCTGTCCTCAATAGCAAGCCTTTTGCGAGTGATTGAAGGAGGCCAGAGCCCGAATGTTGTTCTGAGGGCCCATTAGAAGAATGGAAGGCTCTTTCCTTCAGTGAAACTGGAGCTGTGATAGAAGCGGGGGCCTCAGTTAGAGGTCAGTGGACAATAGAGAGCAAAGCTGCCATGTCAGGTTTCACGCTCTCTGACACCTCCATAAGCTGCCACCCTGTACCATCCGTGGCTCCTGATTGGAGGGCTGTTGACATTTTGGGGGTGGAGCTAAGAGATTGTATAGGATGTATGAGGCCCTTAAATTACAAGACAGCATGTATTATCAGTACGTCCAGTGCCTCATTACACAGATGCTTGGAGATAGATTGCAGAGGACCATCCTGTAATGACTGTCTGTCTACGGTCCACACTTTTGAGTGATTCTGATTGTCCAGACTAGTGCTAACATAAAAAATGACATGGAAAAACAATCCATGAATTGCTTTTTCTGATTCAAATGTTTGTTCACATTTGTTCACATTCATGCACAAAGGCAAGGCCTGGTGAACCATAATCCTTCAAAAAAGCTGGCATTTCTATAAAACACTTGTTGATGTTTACTGCTGTCATCTCTCCCCCTCAGTTTGAAGGGTGTAACAAAGCTTTCTCACGGCTGGAGAATCTGAAGATTCACCTGCGGAGTCACACAGGAGAGAAGCCGTACATGTGCCAGCATCCAGGCTGTCAGAAAGCATTCAGCAACTCCAGCGACAGGGCAAAGCACCAGCGCACACACCTGGACACTGTGAGTACATAAATACAGCCCACCCTAACCTGTATGTCATACCTGAAACTCAAAAGAAGTGCCTCGAAACACAAGAAAACAAACACTGCTCTTTACTGACACCATCCTAAATATAGAAATTAGTAGTGTTGGGGAAACACAAACTAATAGCCTAGTTTTACTAAATGCTTAATACATTTAAGTGTGGCAGTGTTTTTTTTATTTTTAAAGCTGTGAATCTTTTTAGGGAATCTTTTCATCTTAAACAGTCCTCCTTCCTCCTGTGTAGTCTGATTCATTCTAGTGAATCAGTTCTGCCTAAATCATTCTCTCTCTATGTAGCACTGAAAAGTTGACACATTAAAATATATGAGTTCATCTTAAAAGGTTCTCACTTCCATATGTTGAGTTGGAAAGTTATTGTAGTTAAAAGATTATTCTAGTGATTTGGTTCATCTCAATTGGTTCTTATAAATAGCATTGGAAACGCTGATTCATTCTAGTGAATCGGTTCATCCGAAAAGGTCCTCACTTTCATATTGGAAAGTTACATTTATATAGTAATTCGGTTCATCTTAAATGTTTTTTCTCATATATAGCGTTGAAAAATCCTAAAAGGTCTTCATTTTCATATTAATTTTTTTTTCAAATGATTGTTTTTTTTTCAATCCTTTCAATCCCAATGGTTCTCTCTGGTATATAGCACTGGGAACTCTGATTCATTCTAGCGAATCAGTTTATTTAAACAAGTAATGTTAACAAAAAAAATTATAAAACAATCTGTGTCTGTGCATAGCATTTTAGATATTTTTTAGCAGAATATTTGGTTAAATGCTCCTGTTTTTCAGCATTTTTTTTAAATATAATTTAGGGAGAATTATATGTATATTTTTCTTAATTTCCTTCATTTTTTTGCCAGAAAAGTATTGTTAGTTTGATATTTATAATAAGCCTTTTTAAAAGATATTGCCCGCTTACGTAGGTGGTTAGTAGCTTTTAGTATTGCCAACTATTTTCCAGGCTACATTTTAACGTCTGTTCCCTCCCTTTAACAAAACTAAAGAGTGAACCATGGTTGATCCAAGGGCTTTCAAGTTCAGAGCAAAAATCCCAAGCACAGTGAAGCACTTAAGTCCCCAACCAAATGGACCTTACAAACAAACCCATAAATGTGCTGTTTGCTACCTTTCTTTGACCCAAGTTAATTTTGCGTGCACAAAACAGGCATAATGTTATGTCTCTATGGGTTGAAGAGGGAAAACTCGTTATATTATACGTCGTTTAACACCATGCTCCATTTGTGATAGCAACGACACATGGCAGAGAGAGAAAGAAACCGAGAGAGAGAGGCAGGCACATCTTGCATCCCACTCCAACAATGTGAGGAAAAATAAAAGTCAGGGAAAACTTGAGTTAGTAATTCCTCACTAACTGGCAGAACCCTGTGCTGTATCACATCGCAGTACAGCTCCCGTGCTGTGCTACCGCCACACTGCCATGGCCAATTAGCCCCTCGTCTCCAGATGCCCAGCGTTGCACATTAACTCGCCTATGTCACAGCCTTCCCACACGCCTTATATACAGTGAAAAAATCACTCCGACTGTAATGATATTTATTCTTGACGGCCTTTTTTCTGTTTTCCATTCCTAAGCTTTCTCGTTTTCTGTTTTCAGTGCGTTTAGACCTTCAGGGGGATTATATGGCATTGCACAGTGAAAACAAATAAATGCGCAGAGACGAGCTGCCCTGCGAGCAGCTTGTAAAAACAGCGTTATTTAGAGAACGAGGGAAGGTAGGAAAAGAGAGCTAATAAAGGAAGCCTATCCACTTTCACTTTAATGACTGCCTCTGTTTTAGAAAAAACAGCAGTGTAAAATGCATGGGAGAAAATCACCTCTGCATGTTTTGGACCGAGAGAGAGTGTTTCAGGAAAGTTTACCAGTGAGAATCATGGGTACACTGATATATATCTTAAAATGTACATGTTTAAACAATTCAACGCTGATAAAATGCAAAGTAATATAAAACTGGCACAGTAGTTTGTTCCCCGTAAACCAGTAAATTAAGTTTTTGTACAGTACCTGTATGTCTGTCTGACATTTACCAAACAATCTGTATTCTTCTTTTCTTCTTCCTACGTCCTCTCAGCTGAAAGGTAGGATACTGTCTTTCCTACTATTTATAAACTGTTAACTATAAATAAACAGTTATTGCACTTGTGTTTGTCCATTTACACTCAATTTGAAAGTGTAAATAATATTATCTGATTTAACACAAATCTAAATAAAGAACAAATTTGCATATTTGACACCTGTATTAGTAACCTAGAAATAATAACGAATATTAATAATTTTTATGATTTTTAATAGTTATTTATTTATTTTGTTTTCAGCTTTTCAAATTCGAAAAACTTTCTATTTATTTTCAGATTTAAATAAAAATTTAATGAAATGTAAATATTGAATCAGTTTTTTACGTTTTATATTTAGAAATTTTATGCAGAATTAATGACTTTTTATTTAGACTTCATAGACACATCATTTAGACACATCATTTATTTTGGGAGTTCCAAATAGTTGCTTGTCTAAATTGTCATGTGCTTGTAGTTTCCATGTCTGTTCATAAATGTTGTGCACCGTATTTAATGTCTCTTATAAACTATAATTATAGCTACTCAATTATAAACGTCGTCATAATGTAATGATTAATGTCTTTGTGTCTATAGAAGTGTGTTTCTGTGTCCTCTTTGTTGCTGAACTGCATATAATTATGATTCTCAGACTCGTTGTTTATTTCCTGTTTCAGAAACCATATGCATGTCAGATCCCAGGCTGCACTAAACGCTACACAGACCCCAGTTCCCTCCGCAAACATGTGAAGATCCACTCCGCCAAAGAGCAGCAGGCCCGTAGGAAGGTAAGGATAAAAACATAATATCTATCTATCTCTTTAAAAAAAAAAATCTCTGTACAAATCATCTCATCAGCCCAACTCATCAGTACAATTAGCTCTTTGGCTCTTGCCATCGGCCTTTAGAAACATTTGTAGTCTATATTTTTCATGGTCAATTGTGCCTTTTTCACGGCTTGGTGCAGTTGGTTCTACTTAGGTTTGTCTTTGAAAATCATTTCCCCAACAATAGACCGCAACAATAATAATTATTATTATGATTATTATTACTACTAAATAAAATATCAAACAAAGTTAATATATTAAATAATTTACAATACAATTATTCAGAGGAACTTTTGTTTTAATCAAGGTGATGTGACTCAGTATAAGGTATTACAAAAACAAGTTTGTAAGGAACTTAAACTGGCAAGACTTAATTACAAGGATAAAGTGGAGAATATGTTTAGGAAAATATGTTTAGCACTGGAAATTCTCGTTCTGTATGGCAGGGGGTGAAGTCTATGATGGGGAATATTTCTTTTGATGGGAAGCTTGATTTTGATCTTGCTAATGATTTGAATGTTTTTTATAATCGTTTTAATATTCATAATTTTAGTCAGGAATGGGCCGTTTTTAAAAATGCTTCTTTTGAGCAAAATAGTGTAAATGTTGATAAGGATACAGTCTTAAAACTCATCCGGGGTGTTAGAGAGAGAGGAAAAGTCCAGGCCCTGATGGTATTGGAGGCCGTAATATTACAAATTGTGCAGAACAATTGGCAGATATTTTTTGTTTTATTTTTAGTATGTCACTGCACCTTCATAAGGTTCCTCGTCTTCGGAAGGAATCTATTATTGTACCTGTGCCTAAGAATAATGTACCACAATGTTTAAATGAGTATAGACCAGTAGCACTTACCTCTCTGATTATGAAAACATTTGAGAAGATTGTGAAGGATAAGCTTTTGACCATGGTACAGGCAAATTTAGATCCGTTTCAGTTTGCCTACAGGTCTATAGGGGTGTTGATGATGCGATAGGTACTCTATTAAACATGATTTTAGCACATCTTGAGAGTGCAAAGACATTTGTGCGATTAGTTTTTATCGATTTTTCATCTGCTTTAACTGTATCCAGCCTCATATCTTAGCAGAAAGGTTAATTAGGGTTTATAGCATTAATTCTGGGCTGATATGTTGGCTGATGGAATTTTGAACTGATAGATCTCAACGTGTGAAAGTAAACAGGGTTTTATCTGATATACTTTAGTTTTTTCTTCGACTGGGTCACTGCAAGGATGTGTTCTTTCACCTCTTTTATTTGTGCTTTATACTAATGAGTGTCAATCAAACGCTATTAGAGAGGCATCATATCATCAAGTTTGCGGGTGATGCAGTGATTGTTTCCATTTTAAATAGTGAGGATCTTGATCATGGTCCTGTACTGGCAGATTTTATTGATTGGTGTAATTTGTTCTTTCTGGACATGAATGTATTTAAAACTAAAGAGATGATTATAGATTTTAGGAAGAATCCTACAGTCATATCTCCTGTGGTTATTAATGATCATGTTGTTGAGGTTGTACGTCAATTTAAATACCTTGGTACTGTAATAGATGAAAAGTTGACCTTTGAGGCTCATGTGGATGCTGTGTGTAAGAAAGCCCACCAGCGTATGTTTTATCTGCGGAAGCTTTGTAGTTTTAATGTGGACAGTACTTTCATGAAGATGTTTTACTCTTGTATTGAATCTGTGATTACTTTCTCATTTGTGTGCTGGTATGGGTCATTTAATGTAAAAAACAGAAATAGATTGCAGGATATTGTTAAAGTGTGTGGTAAGATTGTTGGCACCACTTTAAATGATTTGAACAACTTGTATAAGGTCAGGACTTTGAAGAAGGCTGAGTTAATTATGAATGATCCCAGCCATCCCTTGCAGAATGTTTTCAAGTTGCTTCCTTCTACTCGCAGATATTATTTGCCTTTATGTAGGTAATTAAAAAAATATTTTATACCAGCTGCCATCGGTTTTTTAAATTACAAATAATTTTATGTATATTATTAATGGAAGTCATGTGTGTGTGTGTGTTGTGGTGTTGGTGTATTATTATTAAATTACTTAATGTTGTTTGTCATTTTATTTTATATCGCAGCGGCGTCCGAAAAAATTTCGCACGTTCAAAGTCTAGTGTGACCGCCACTTAAGATGTCGTCGTCGGTGTGGTGTTGGTTTGTTGATTGTATATGGTTTACTGCTGGCTGTGAAACAAATTGCCCTCTGGGGATAATAAAGTTGACCTTGACCCTTGAATTTAATTTTATTGTCATTTTGTTATATCACCAGTTGTGCATATCTACAAACAAGCACAGCATACTTGTAACATTTTTTAATCACATTTTAAATTGCAATTCATGTCAGAAAAATCACAATTCCATTTTTATTTTAACTCCAAAAAAAAAAGTTAACTGTGGAAGAAAGTTAGTTATACATGTTTTGAATGATATGAGACTTGGAATTTTTGGGTCGCTTAAAACAAACCCTGGTGCGATTGCTCTGTTGGTGTGGTTCATTTGAATAAGTGAAAACGCTAGCATGTTTTGACACATTTCATAAGCTCTTTACAAGTTCTCAGCTGGTAAAAGCACCATCAAATGTATGCACATACAATGAGTGCATTTAACCCCATGCACAAGATTGTTTGGGATGTTCAGCAAGTTATGTTGCAAAATATACATCATAAAAGCCCCTTGTTTTTGTTTTGTATTTTAAGGATCGGTCCTAAAAATGACAGTATGAATGCTAATTGAACCAGGACTAAATGTATAATTTTCTTTTTTGGTCCGTACCAAAAGAACGAAGAGAACCGAACCACAAGTGTGAACATGCCCTAAATGATGACAGAATTTAGATTTTTGTGTGAACTATTCGTTTAAGAGCAAAAATTCATGGAGGAGAGAGGTAGAACAGACTCTAAACATCCGTGAGAGAGTAATTTGAAGGGCAGTTGCAGAACTCCCCATCATTAAAGCATCCTTGTACAAAACACACTTCGCACTGCAACAGCTTAAATCACCCCCAACGTGTGCCAGGGGAAAATAGGCGTCCTGGCTTACACAGTCTCTCTCATTTGCTCGTTTCAAAGGGGATAAGTTGTTGCTTCAATGTGCAAATGTCTTTAGCCTGAAGGACCTGTTATGTTACTGTGGCTGTTTGTTCTTGTTTAGAGGAGAAGTTGTGGTTGGAACTGGCCAAGATGCCTGCATTTAATGTTCCTGATGTTTATGGCTCTCCCTAAGCTTTGTTCCGGGGCCAGTAGAAAAAGAAAAGCAAAGTGGAGAGTGGGTACCTCTATGATTTTGTAATTTGCACATATAAAGTGCGTTCTAGTCCTGTGTTGTGTCTTTGTGTAGGTTTGCATTTGGCTGCTCCATACAATGTTGTGCAGTCTCTGTGGCTGCTTGAATATATGCTGATCATGTCATAATTATATATTGTGATAAGGTTAGTTATGGATTCTTCAACACTAATTTCTATCATTTTGGTTTTATTTGTTATTTGCCTTATCTATTTATCTTTCTGTCTATTTATTTTTCTATCTATAATATCAAATACTGTTTAACATTTTTGGGATATACTGTATACTTGAAATATAATTTATATGTATAAATAATTTGTTCAGGAATATAAGTGCATTTGTGTGATAATATAATTTAAAAAAATCTAGTTAGAAAATGAAAAAAGTATTTTTACGAGTTAAATTATTTATATTTACATATTTATAATTATCTATTTTCCATTATAAATGTGTCGTGTGTGTGTGTGGGGGGGTGTATATATATATATATATATATATATAGACAACAAATTATATAACAAATATACGTATGCATATTCTTGAAATAATATGTATAACTTGAAATGTAAGTGCATTTGTGTGATATAAAAAAATAAATATCAAATTAGAAAACTGCTTAATTAAAGCATTTTTACAAGTTGTTTATAATTCAAATTCACTCTTGTACTAATTATTAAACATGTGTATTAATTAATGAATGTACTGATTATTTAGAAATTCACAATCACTCTCAGCCTTTAGAGTCTGATTCTGCCTCCTGGTGCACCCCCTCCCCTCTCTCCAGCAGATAACAACTAAAGCAATCATGGCCATTACATGTTGAATGCTTCCCAGTCTGGTAGCAGATGTTAGGGCTAAAGGAGAAACCATTTAAAGACTTTGATTGATGATTTTGGGTAATGAATCAAGTTTGTAACCAGTTCAGAAAACTGTCAGATGGGCCCCCGCTTCCACCGTAAAGCAGATGAAGAGGAGCACAAAGAGAAGGGGTGCTGGGACGAGCCGCTGACGACTGCCGTGCACAGCCGTCCCTCCAGAGGGCTTCTGGGAAAACAATTACTGGGCAAATTCAGAGGAACACATTAACAGCCGGAGCAACCAGGAAGAGTGTCCGCCTGTCAGTCTCTCAGGCTGCACAAGAAGCCTAGGGATGGTAGAAGCCCATTTACAGAACAAGCAACTATCATTTTCATCTGGCCTGGTTTGCTTACAGTGGTGGGATGACATTTGGAGCAGTTGGAGCTCTGATCTACACTGTTATTTCCATTATACACTGTGGATGAAGTTGATGCATCCGCTGTTTTTTGCTTCAAGGTTATGTGTCCTTGGCTAAAGATACTGTTCCTTTCATTTCAATACAAGTAGCTTCAGGTAGATCTGTCTATACTTACTAGTTCTGCCATTCCATTAAAATTGAACTGATCTGTCAAAGATGTTACATTCAAAACAGCAACAGTCAATCAAATCCATTCAGCACAGCAATATAAATCATGTACAATAAACTGCTAACAGCACAGAACAGGAACATTTAATTTCATCCAAAAGGGCCTTGGTGAGTTTGTGTTGTCATAACAAGCGCTTGTTGCCATTAAGGGCTGTATTTAATTTGGTCAATGTGCCATTCTTGAGGGCTCCTTGAGGTTTATTAGGCATGTTTTGCACATTAGTTTTGTTTGTCTTCCAGGCCTCTACGCCGGCTCCAGCACGACACACAATGGAGCCCCACTTGAGTTGCTCTCTTCTGGACTTGACCTGCCCCCCAGGCAGCCCCGCCTGGACCGCGACATTGGAAGCCCCCACCATCTCTCCCCGTTGTCTGGCCTCGAGAACACCCGGGAAGGGTGAGTACCTAACCCACCGAGCGCCACATTTAGTCCCAGTTGCTCTGACATACACGCAAGGCGGATGAGATCAATGTAGATGATGTCAGAATGGATGAAGGTTGTCATCACAGTAACAGATATCACTGTAGTCATAGTTACACACATTGGCTCAGTTCCATTGAGTGAGCTGTCACAGAAAGGCTGTTATATCTCTGAAAGATATCTCCTTTTGAGTTAAGTTGACACTACATGGATCCTTTGAAGAAAAGGCAATCCGACAGTGCATTGCAATATGCTCTGTGAACAATCTGAGATGTTATACTTTAGTCTAATTAAAAAGTACACAATGATTCACTCAGTAGACACTTGTTTCATCATGAATGAATCATTGCTTTTAAATGAGTCAATTGAGTAAATTTTACTCACTCATAAAGACAGTCACTTGTTTCTCTCTGGAATGATTCAGTGCCTGAATTGAGGGTAGCATACTACTCTTACTATTTTTGCCATATAAAGATGTAGTACAAATAATAAGTAGTACGCTAGTATGTTTTTTTTCTGAATTCAGACACTGTTCTTGATCAATTTCTGAATAAATCCGTATTTTGAATGAATCATTGAGTAAATGTTTAATTAAAATTTTGAAATAATTGGTTGAGGGAATGATTTATTGACTCACTCATAAAGACAGTCACTTGTTTCATTCCTGAATGAATCAGTGTTTTTGAATGAATCAGATGAGTTGATTCATTGACTCACTCGTTGACTCACTCATTTGTCGCCACCTACTGGTACTATGTAACCAGCAGAAACAGTCACTGAAAAATACACCTGAATAATAATAATGAGCTTTTTTTATTTTAAAACCTAATAACTACGAAAAGCACCTACCCATGACTTGATGACATCAAATTGCTTCGGAATAACTAGTCACATCCAGGATTTTGTTGCTATTGCATTGCTCCAGGTTTTTCTCATAACAGGAGATTTTCTTTGGTAATGTGTGCCATCTAATGTGTGTTTCCCTGTGTGTAAGAACCAATGCTGATTTAGGGGCCTGGATTTATTTACCATGCAAAGCACCACCAGCAAATTTTTCCCTTGCCCATACAGAACGTTTGTTTTCATTGTAACACGCTCCTAAAACACACACCCTACGATGCATTTGATGCTTGCGGCTGCGCTCTTCTCTTGCTCTGGCTTCAGTGTGTATTTATCCAGCAAATCTAGATTAAACCAATGTCACCCTAACACAACATAAACCAACTCTGTGCTTTTGGCTTCAGTTAAGAGTTGTCAGTGCTGTGTAATTAAAGCAGGACCGCGTTCCCAAAAAAGTGCACCTCTGTTCCTTTCTGTCCTCAAGCTGTGTTTAGTGTTCTGGAATGCTCAGAGGAGGAATACAATGAAGTCTAATATGTCCCTAACAGGACTGAGGCATGTTTCCCAATAAAAACCATGATTTCCCTCTGGACCAGCCAAGTCCAGAGCTGCAAATCCAATGTGTCATCAAGATGTGCAGTGTGTATAGTGACAAACAGAGATGCTGGAAATGAGAAAGAGAAAAGGAGAGAAAATAGATCTGTTCTTTTAAAGCATCAGATTTAAATGGGATTTTTCGGTTCTTTATCATAGTTAAATGAAAGCAAAAGTGCAGTGTTAAGTAAATTAACCAGTTTCGCCCACATCTGAGAATGGAAACTAATTCAAGAGCTTGTAAACAACATAACTATCGAAACAATAATGAGCTTTGCAACTCTTTATACTTCTCTTGTTCTTTTTCTCTTCCTGTTTACTCAACTGGTAGAGCATTGCACCAAGGTTGTGGGTCTGATTCCTAGGGAAAACAAAAATATGTTTTCCCTTAAAATGATACATTTTCTCAGTTGAAACGTTTGATATGTCATCTATGTTGTATTCTGAAATTTGAAACTTCATTGCATTCTGTTTTTATTCACAATTTGTACATTGTCCCAACTTTTTTGGAATCGGGTTTGTAGAATGCACTGTTAATGTGAGTAAATTTTTTATTTTTATTTTTTTTAGCCTGAAATTTGAATCAAAGTGACGTTTTCGTTCGCATAAGCCCATTGGAGATGTCAGTTTCTAGCAAAAATGCTCCAACATCCATGAAATGTGCCCAAGGCAGCAGTGAGTTGTCATGTCCTTAAAAATCTTTTTGGAAGGTGAGCTGTTTTTCCAGGTCACAGAAAGAATGCAAAAAACGCTCAAGAAAATTAGCAAACCATTTTAAAGCTCCACAAACAATTACTGCTACTTGGAGAGGAATGAGAGCTGAACGAAACCAGCTCAGGGAATACGCATGTAACGCTATATGCTATTGCACTGAAGGTCACAATGACATATTCAAGCGTACAGAGGACTCTGCTTTTCACTGATGCTGAAGGTTTAAGTCTGTGAAAATGTAAGATTATACACACCCTTCACACAAAGCATGAGATGAAGGTGGACGTGAACTTTTTTTTGGAAGTAATGAGTATATGTGGAGCTTGAAACATAATAGCATTTTATCCACCTAGTAAGTCAAGTGCCAGCTGTAATATTATAACTTTCTCATACAGTCGCTAAGAAAATGGCCATCTTGTTTTCGGAAGTCATTAGAGTTGGGGTTCCCGATCAAAAATATATGCGCACATATAGCACGCTTTATCCCATCCGTCTAATGCCGCATCTCTGCCAGGACCTACGAATAACCAGGTATGAAACGTCTAGTTGCATTTGAAGATGGAGCATTTTGATTTACATGTTTAAAGCCTTGAGTATACACTTGGCTGCCAAAGTCAACAGCAGCTGCCGCTCTTGTTTTCCCCCAAATGGTTTAGCAGGACGTTAAACATTTTGACAAAATTATATAACTTTCTTGACTCCACTGCTGCAGCCTCTGACCTCATTGCTAAATGTGTTTACCCTGGCTGAAATGGCCCATTTAGACTCCTTTTACTTCGCAAATACTAGTGTCATTTTCTGAAGCTAATATTAAAATATATGCCAGTGAAAATACATCTAGTGGTCTCCGTTGTATGGAGTTTGAGATGGAGGGATGCAGAAGTGTTTGGATTTTGCTCAGAGGAACGTGCTCACCAGCCTGAAGGGCCGAGGGGTTTAATGGGTGGCATTGGCACCTCAACGACTTCATTTACATGTTTTGTAGGTGACAGTTTTACAGTAAAATTAGGAATAGCTGATCCTGGTCTACCTTAATGGTAATGATAAACAGGTTTGTATTAATGAGAGGAAATCAATTTTTTTTACATGTTTTATTGGAATACGTTTATATTCACAACTGTTTCAAAATTTAAGGTTGGTAAGATTTCTTTCATGTTTTTGAAAGAAGTCTTTTGTGCTCGGCAAAGCTGCATTTATTTTTGACAAAAATACAGTAATAAAGTAAACTACAATAACCATTTCACATAAATTTCTATTTTAATATATTTTAAAATGTAATTTATTTTTGTCAAGCTGAATTGCTCAAGTCTTCAGTGTCACATGATCCTTCATAAATCATTCTAACGTTCTTCTTTGGTTCTCAAGAAACATTTTTTATTATTATCAGTGTTAAACTTTTTTTTTGCTGCTTAATATATTTGTGAAAACCATGATGCACTACCATTCAAATGTTTGAGGTAAGTCATTTTTTTTTTACTATTTTATTTATAAAGTGACACCAAAGACATTTATAATGTTACAAATTATTTCTGTTATTTCAAATAAATGTAAAATAAATTCTTTCTATTCATCAAAGAATCCTGAAAAAAAAGTAGGTTTTCAAAAAAATATAATAAGCAAATTAGCAGCATAAACATGTTTTCAACACTGATAATAAGAACAATTACAATAATTAATAATTGAGCACCAATAATAACTGGTAATTATTGAGCATCAGATCAGCATATTAGAATGATTTCTGAAGGATCATGTGACATTGAAGACTGGAGTAATGATGCTGAAAATTCAGCTTTGTCATGACAGGAATAAATTACATTTTAAAATATATAAAAATATATAACAGTTAATTATAATATCACACATTACCACAGTTTTCACTGTATTTTTATTAAATAAATGCAGCCTTGGTAAGCATAAGAGACTTCTTTCAAAAACATAAAAAATGTCTTAGTTATTCTAAACTTTGACCAACTTTGCATGTATATTTAGTCTCATTAGTCTCATAAAACTCTTGATTAGTGTCATAAAATATAGTCATAAATAATCAAATTCCTTGAACTTGAGTCCATTTCAGCAGGTTTCAGTATCACCCCCTGATCTAAACAGTAGCTGCACTGATACATTGTATCTTAAGCTAATTTCCCCGCTTGACTGCACTTTCGCGTTTGAGTGTTTAGAAGCAAGCAATAGGCTCGGATCAGTAAGGGCCTGATCTCTCACGAGTGGCTTTAGTTTGCTAACCAGAACCAGAAAGGTTCCCACCGACCCGTGCCAAGTCAGCGGCCACTTCGTTCTTCAATCAGAAGAGCTTACCGTGAGACACTGGGGATATCCACGCTCTCTCATACACGCCGTCTCCCAGTGGAGCACAACCTGACAGGTGAAACAAGACAAACTGGGAACAGAGCACTCATCTTCATGAATCTTCATTCAAAAAGGGGGGGGGATCCATCTTGATCTACTTTGTCTCCAGCCAACTCCTGGGGGATTTGTGTCTGTTTGAGCATAAGGATTGCCTCACTTCTGAAAGCAGCACCTCTGTTGCACGATTTGTAAGGTCTTTGACCCCTCCAACAGGGATTAAACTGGAACGTGACACTAAGGGGTTTAAAAATGACAGAGCTTTTCATGAACCTCACAGAGTGCATTTAATAACAGTATTATTCCATCATCCAAAATGTAACTTTTCAATGTGTGTCAGGAGTGTAAACCTAACTTCAAACCCCCCAGTGCTCGTTTATTCACATTAATGTGATTTTTTTTTTTTGGTGGTCAAAGTTGCTACAGTATGTCCCATCTAGACCATAGTTCTTTGAACCTTTTGGTGGTTACTTTCTGAGCCAGGCGTAGAGTAACTATGTTCATTAACGTGGAGCACATCCAGTGAATCATATTCAGAAGAGTCATGTTCACTGAATCATTATCTGATGTGCTGAGTAAGGACTTAATCATGTCAACTGAGCGATGCTCTGGGATATTCATTCAGGTTCCCATGGAGTCACATTCAGCACTTTGGCTTTATTACTCAATCTGCTACTTTTAAGAAATACCATTTGTAAACACTTTGTTCACAACCAAACTATTAAGAGTTAGGTCATTATACTTTTAAGTTCCTGTGAAGTCGACTCATTGCCTTTTTTAGATAGTGGACCAAAGTTTCCTATCCCATCACTCTTGACTCAAAACAACCAATTCAGAAGGCCCAAAAATCTGTGATAAATACAATTTTGCATGACACAATTCCCCATTTTGTTGGTTCTGAATGGAGGATATGGTTACAATTTGTTGAATTACTGCTGCTGCGATCAATAGAAAATGCAAATAAACCTACTTTAAATTAAAATGTACTTATTTAAAATTTGTGGAATGTTATTTTAAATCTCAATTGCAAAACTGGTATGTTTGTGCGGAAAATAATATTTAAACTAAACCAATGCATAAAAAGTGGTTGCTATTAGGGCTGTTGTTTTAATTTAATTGATTAGTTATGGAAAAATAATGCGATTTAAAATATTTTAACGCGATTGATGCACTGGCCCTGCCCCAGACCTGCATATCATTACATTTAATAGCCTACAGTTGACTGTTGACAAACATGATGCAGGGCAACAATTGTGATTTAGCCTATAAAATGCAGATATATGCCCTTAAAATGTAATATATATATATATATATATATATATATATATATATAAATGCCCCTGTATGCGTTTTTGTCTCATTTATATAATATGATAAGCGATATCGCACGAGTGCAAATGTGATTTTAACAGTTCAGTAAATAAGAAGTTAATATTGTGTTATATTTTAGATAGGCTACAATATTGTCTGTTTTTGATAACGAAAATATTACAGCAGCATATAAAGTCACAGCAGAACTGTTGTGCATCTCCGAGTAACACACAGCAGTGGTTAGTTTCTGAATGAATCCGCGTTTTAAATGAATCAGGTGATCCCCGATGCATTGATAAAGAGACCCATTTACTTAATTCCTGAATGAATCCGCAGTTTGAATGAATGAATGACTCAATGACTTACTCATAAAGACATTTACCGCCACTTACTGGCAGTTGTAGTTTCTTATTTAGAGTAGCATTTCATAAAACATTTAATAAATGAATAAATAAAGTGATAGTTCACCCAAAAAGAGAAGTTCTGTGATAATTTATTCCCTCATGTCGTTTCAAACCTGTATAACTTACTTTCTTTTATGGAACATAAAAGAAAATAATGAAGAATGTTGGTAACTAGAAGAAAAAGAAGACTGTTGGTAACCAAGCTGATCTGGTTATGACTTTATATTAACAAAAATAATGAGATTTTCTCAAATGATCTTTGTTTATGTTTCATAGTTTGTTAGGTAATTGTAGCCTAAACGTTTATGGGTAATAGATTTTTTGTTGTATATTTCTTTCTAAAGCTACTTTTTGTAATATCTACTTGATATTTTCTCATTAAAAAATTATTAATATATAATATTATACATACAGCATTTATTTGAAACAGAAATGCAAAAGTCTTCCAGCATCAATTGTACTTTTCTTTCCTTATTTAGATCCTGGGTGGCACTGTGAGTTACTTGAGCAAGACAAATGCTTTTTTTTATCACTTTTAAATATTAGATGAACGTGAACTTTTGGACGATCAGTTGGTCAGCAGGCATATACTGGTAAGCTCTTATGACGTGAAAGATATGCTGTATAGTCACAAAAAGAGCCTGTGAATGTGAAAGCAGATGATCAGTGAAGGTAAATACCGAAGGGAGAGATTAATCTTGTATATGAAAGATTCCCCTCATTCCTGGAGCCTTAGCAAGCTGCAGCTGGCAGTGATTATAGCATGATTCACTTTAGCTGCACATAGAGGCTGCTTGTAAAAATATAAACAGTATAACTGTTTCCTGAGCTTGTGCTGACAGCAGCTCCCAGGGGAAACGCTGCCGCAGTGCTCTCTGCAGAAACACATGGCCACACGTCATATCACAGCCAGCGACTAGATCCGAACAGCTTTCCTGCATACGAACACAAGCTAGCCCGCTAACTCTAATTCCTTAATGTATATATGCTGCATGCCTTGTGAAATATATTGTGGACATGGCTGTCTGAGAAAAGTCCCATGACTCATGGGGTTACATCCAAGAACAGTTTTAAAAATTGGATATTTTTTATGCAGTTGTGATGAAACTGAGTCCTTGGAATGTGAATTTGGCTAACAGTGAAAAACTACATAATGGTCTAACAGATGTAACAGCCCTTATCAGTCCTTATCAGATTCTGGGCAAATGAACGATGGGAAATATCACTCCCACACGAGGCCTGAAACATAAATAAAAAAGAATTATCAGCTCATTGGAGTCCAAATTTTATGGACTCCATGAGTCGATGATAGTGCAAAAGGCAATTTAAATGCCATTTAAAGGTCAAAGTAATGAACAAACATTTGTTGCTTGCTGGTGGGTTGCACATGATATGACATTCTCATTCTAGAGCGTTTGATTGGACAAAAATTGGTGTAGTGCAGGATGTCATCATCAATGTTTTTGGTTATTTTTTCTAGACAAGAAAGACTAAATATTAATATGTACAATACCGTTCAAAAGTTTGGGATCGGTAAGATTTTTTATGTTTTTAAAAGAAGTTTCTTATGTTCACAAAGGCTGCATTTATTTGATCAAAAATATAGTATAAAAACAGTAATATTGTGAAATATTATTACAGTTTAAAATACTGTTTTCTATTTGAATATATTTTAAAATGCAGTTTATTCCTGTGATGGTAAAGTTGAATTTTCAGCAGCCATTACTTCAGTCTTCAGTGTCACATAATCCTTCAGAAATCATTCTAATATGCTGATTTGCTGCTCAAGAAACATTTCTTATTATTACCAATGTTGACAACAGTTGTGTTGCTTAATATTTTTTTGTGGAAACTATGATACGTTACATTCAGATTTCTTTGATGAATTGAAAATTCTAAAGAACAGCATTTATATATCATGTCTTTACTGTCACTTTTGCTAAATTTACTGTGCAATTACAGAAAAAATATTAATTTGTTAAAAAAATCTTGCTGACTGCAAACTTTTGAACCACAGTGTTTATCTTCTAAAAGTGAATGTTATCAGTATTTGTGAGTAGACTAGCATATACAGTGAATGGGTTTTAGCTTTAAGGGCCATGGAAAAAGCCACAAAACTCTAATATTTATTCTGTGAGGACTTTAATATTTAGGTAAGAAAAGTGAACATATTTATAAATACTGATCTCATATGTGACCCAGGACCACAAAACCAGTCTTAAATCGCTTTGGTATATTTTTAGCAATAGCCCAAAAAAATTATATGGGTCAAAATTATTTTTCTTTTATGCCAAAAATCATTAGGATATTAAGTAAAGATCATGTTCCATGAAGATATTTTGTAAATTTCCTACCATAAATATATCAAAACTTAATTTTTGATTAGTAATATGCATTGCTAAGAACTTAATTTGAACAACTTTAAAGGCGATTTTCTCAATATTTAGATTTTTTTGCACCCTCAGATTCCAAATTTTCATCTCAATTTAAAAAAAATTACCCTTATGACTGGTTTTGTGTTCCAGGGTCACATATATCATTAGGGAGAACAAACAGGCAGTAAAGTGCATTAATTTAATTTCCTCTGACCCTGCATATCTTACATTATAGCTGTATATGTCCTCACAATATCTCTCCATAACTACATCATGATGAGCATCTGTTTGTCATACTTCTGTTTAAACAGGCGATTCTTTGAGTTTGTTTTTGTTCTCTGTTCATTTCTGAAATTCAGAATATGATTCTTTGATGTGTGCACTAAAGGCAGAGAGCCTTGACTTAGGGGGCAGGAACGGCTTCACAGGGCCGTTGGGCTGGCACTCCACGTTTCGCTGGAACTTGGTTTTGCATATTTGAAGACTTGCTTGTGACAGCTGCATCTAATGGCACTAACAAAGCCTTTATTTGTTCCATTGTGTGCAAGCATGAGAAAGCTATCATAACTTCCCCAAAGCCATCACAGTGTACAGTAAGTCAGGGACATGTTATGTATAAGTGGCATCTGGAGTAAAGAACAGGCTTGTACTCAATCAAAACCAGGCTCATGACTTTCCATTATAACAAGAATTGGAAAAGGATAAAGCATGTTAGAATAAATAATAATAATAAAAAAAAATAATGTTTCACTTTAGGCTATGTGACTCTTTTTCTGAGGTAATCCTCTCAGATATTTTTCAGGATTAAAGGTAGGATGGGGTGAGGTTATAAAGTTGCTATAAATTAATATTCACAGGACTATAAATGATATACTCTATATGAAATGTTATAGGTTTTTTTTTTGGTCTGTTTATCTTCAACCATTAATCTTATTAGTTAATGCTCACTTTCTCTCTTCCAGGTTGTCTGGAGCTTTGCTGTCTACAGGGATCAATCTGCTGAAGGCCGCTACATCTCCTCCACCAACACTAGAGAAGCAACAGAACTCCTCTTCCAGCCAGCAACACCTCCACACTCACCATAAACCCTACACCACCTTCCACAACCTGCCTTCAAGTGAGGGTACGAGAACTTCTGTGTTTGTTTGCTCTGATTTTATTGGGTGGTAGTCTTCACACACATTAAAAGTTCAGCACTTCCTTTAGGATGATTTAAAACTGCACTGTATATATATACAGTATATATATATATATATATATATATATATATATATATACAATGTTGGGAAGGTTACTTTAGAAATGTAATCGGTTACAGATTACAAGTTACCATATTTAAAGTGTAATAGTAGTGTAACTTTTTCAGTTACTTTATTAATGTAACTGATTACTTTTGATTACTTTTATAAATTTCTAATGAATGTTTATTTGCAACTGTTAATCATTTTCAAACATTTACACCATGCAGGGTTAACCTTACAGTAGTGCTCAAACTTTCAAAATCCTTCATCACTTGAATTAAGATGATCAAATTTGAACACATCCACCACAAAATCAGACTTTAGTACCACCTTTTACTTTGAGAGTGATCTGAAGTTCAATGCAGATTTAATATCATAAGAAATAGTTTACTGACACTGTTTTTGAAAACAAATCTTTGCATAACTACAGGAAACATTGCATCTAACAAGGGTTTGAAAAAAAATAGTCAATTAAAAAATAAAAGCATATACATCAACTCATATACGGTTATCTAAAAAGCATGTGTCCTATTGTGTACTAAACTCCTGAAACATTGATGTCTCTTTGTATATGATATGATGATAGTTTTCTCAAAATAAGTAAAATGCTCATGAAGTGACTCAGAGCAGTTCTAGAGATTATGTTTATGTGTTCATGTACTCATATATTGAGGCGGCAGAGGCTGAAAACATCGCAAGCTTCAGTAGGCCTATGTGTAGTAAATGAAACCGCATGTCTGTGCCATTAATTTCCACGAGGGGCAGACTGGGAAAAAAAATTCAGGCTGGGAAATCTCACACTCAACAACAAATTCTGAAACATGGACAATCCTATTTTTTGTATGGACCTCACATAAAAAAGGTTTAAAGGGGTCATATGATGTTGCTAAAAAGAACATTATTTGGTGTATTTGGTGTAATGAAATGTGTTTAATGCGGTTTTAGGTTTAAAAAACATTATTTTCCACATACTGTACATTATTGTTTCTCCTCTATACCCCACCTTTTTGTCGATTTTTACAAAGCTCATCGGTCTGAAAAGCGAGGTGTGCTCTGATTGGCCAGCTATCGAGGCATTTGTTGCATCCAGTGGGGACATAATTACGGATTATAATGACTTATATTGTCTTTTTACACATTGCGTTGCATCACGCCGCGTAAACATAAAACCATGTCTACATTTGTGATCGGAGAAATGACAAACAACAAGCACTACTCTACACTGCTCAAAACTTGCATTTTAATCATCAGTGGCAAATCCTTTAAATATGAAAACGTACTTACAGACTGTGAGTCAGAACAGCCGGCATTGTAGTCTACTCTTCCAGGATCAGAAAACAGTCCTCCATAAAATGTGCTTCATTTATTTATATGAATATTTGGGTTGAACTGTTCTGGAACAGTGTTGTAAATACAACTTAACCACTGATTTCTAGTCGTGTCCTCTTTTGGAAGGCCAAACAAAGTATTTTCGCTTTTGCAACGAAACACACAGCGTCTTCACAACATGGCGGCGGTGGTGGCAGCAACAATAAAGTTACTCCTCCTTTCTTTGCGTGAACATTTGGGTGGTGTTATGCAAATCTTCCCACACAGTGACGTAGACATGTGGGGGCGTGTTAGAACGAGCCGTTTTAGGAGGGCGTGGACCAGTCTTAACTTTTATAAAGAATATCTCTTTGGGTTTGAGTCTTTAGTCTTTGCAACTTTTGGATCTTATCTATTCACAAACAGCTTGTAACACTCCAAAGTGAAAGGAAAACTTGAAATCGCATCATATGACCCCTTTAAACCTTTCTCAGCACCCTGTCGAGAGTATCATCAAAATAAACTATGAGCCACAGACACAGTCATGTTTAGAATATCAAGCGTGAACATTATTTTCCACATACTGTACATTATTGTTTCTCCTCTATACCCCACCTTTTTGTCGATTTTTACAAAGCTCATCGGTCTGAAAAGCGAGGTGTGCTCTGATTGGCCAGCTATCGAGGCATTTGTTGCATCCAGTGGGGACATAATTACGGATTATAATGACTTATATTGTCTTTTTACACATTGCGTTGCATCACGCCGCGTAAACATAAAACCATGTCTACATTTGTGATCGGAGAAATGACAAACAACAAGCACTACTCTACACTGCTCAAAACTTGCATTTTAATCATCAGTGGCAAATCCTTTAAATATGAAAACGTACTTACAGACTGTGAGTCAGAACAGCCGGCATTGTAGTCTACTCTTCCAGGATCAGAAAACAGTCCTCCATAAAATGTGCTTCATTTATTTATATGAATATTTGGGTTGAACTGTTCTGGAACAGTGTTGTAAATACAACTTAACCACTGATTTCTAGTCGTGTCCTCTTTTGGAAGGCCAAACAAAGTATTTTCGCTTTTGCAACGAAACACACAGCGTCTTCACAACATGGCGGCGGTGGTGGCAGCAACAATAAAGTTACTCCTCCTTTCTTTGCGTGAACATTTGGGTGGTGTTATGCAAATCTTCCCACACAGTGACGTAGACATGTGGGGGCGTGTTAGAACGAGCCGTTTTAGGAGGGCGTGGACCAGTCTTAACTTTTATAAAGAATATCTCTTTGGGTTTGAGTCTTTAGTCTTTGCAACTTTTGGATCTTATCTATTCACAAACAGCTTGTAACACTCCAAAGTGAAAGGAAAACTTGAAATCGCATCATATGACCCCTTTAAATCCTTAGGTTGGGGACATGCAAAATAATTAAAAGTTCTCTCCTGAACTGCACCTTCACTTCCATTTTTCTTTTCAGTCTCTTTATTTTGCCCCGATGTCCATCTCTCACATGACGTTAATACTCAAGATTTAACAAAACTATACTTTCTAAATTGCCTACATGTCAAAATCACTACAGTATCTTTATAGAAAAATCCTAATGCTGAACATGAGTCATGTTTTTCCCTTACAAAAATTAAGCATGCTTTTATTATAGTAAAAGTACAGTAACCATGTTTTTTTTGGCAAATGGATTACCATTTGTATTTATTTTTACTACAAATTCCATGGTTAAACTATGGTTAGTGTAGCAAAAACCATGGTTTAACAATAGTAACCATTGTCTTTGGATTCATAGTAAAAATCATCGTTAATTTTCCTTCACAATTTGAGTTGAATTATTGAAATAAATTAACTTTTCCACGGCATTCTAATTTATTGAGATGCACCTGTATATATAGCTTTAAATATGATTTTTATCCTATCAAAATTTTGATGCATTGAAATTTCATAATTCTTGTTATCAATTTCAATATTAAAAAATAAATAAATAAAAATTAAAAATACTAGCCTAAGTAAAAACAAGCTTATACTTAAGACAAGTAAACAGCCACAAAATACAAAAAAATACCTACTTGAAACACTTAAAGCACTGCATAAGAAATGTTATTGTATTAAATAAATGTATGAATAGTCTTCACTGTATAAATTCAATATACATTCATTCTTATTTATTTTACAAAAGCGATTCAGTCAAGGACAGTGAGTTATTTTCTTTCTAATGTTTGATTAACATTATTGACATAAATTTTAACAGCAGCTATATTAGGCTGCTTTAGAGGAATAGCTAAGCTCCCCCAAAAATAAAAGATCTGTTGTTGTTTTAAACCTGTATGAGTTTCCTTCTGCTGTTGAATGTAAAAGTATATATTTGGAACAATACTGGTAACCCAACAGTTGCTGGGCCCCCATGACTTCCATAGTATGAAAAGCAAAATACACTACTGGAGTCAATGGGGACCAGAAACTTTCTAGTTACAAACATTCTTCAAAATATCTTTCTTTTATGTTGAGGTGAACAAAGAAATTCATACAGGTTTAGAACAACTTGAGGCTGAGTAAATGGTGACAGTATTTTAATTTTTGGGTGAACTATCCCTTTAAAATCTCATCATATTAGGATCTCATATAGCCAACTACTGCACATGTTTTATATTTAACTATTAACGTTCATTTAAGACAAATGACTGTGTTGACGAGGAGACATTTTGACACATAACTGTGCAATTGAACATTTAAGCACATGCCGCGAAAAATAACTGAAGTTAGACTGGCGCTGTAGAGCAGGTGCGTGCCACGCGAATCAGGCCGCGTGACCGTCTTAATGCGCACATTTGCCAAAATGAATTCTGCCCCACTGCTTAAAGGTGCAATAGGTGATTGTCTTCAGAAAATTTTTTTGTTATGCTGGTTGAAAGTCTCTTCACATCCCGATAGCAATTATTAAGTTAAGTGGTCTAAATGTATTTGTCTGTATTTATATATTCTGTGGAAGGCATAGGATCAAGAAATGTTCGTCCAATCAAAACGCTCGGTCCAAGCGTTTTAATAAGCTTTCCTACCTGCCTGTCAACGTATGTATAAGCATACCTCTGCGCACCCGGTTCGCGATGACAGGATACGTCATCAGCGCGTTCACGCACACTGTGCAGACAGAGCGAGGATGGCAGGCAAACATCAACAACCCGATCTTTCTTCCTGGTATTGTAGTATTTTTAAAGATTTCTCACCGGTGAATGACACATGATGTAGCCCAGCGGTTAATCTAGTCCTCGCGCCAGCTCGTTAGAAGTGAGCTACGTGCATGAACTGTGTTCCGATCGATATGATCCCTACACAGTGTTCATTGCTCCCTACTCTCTGAGCAGGGGAAATCCGTTGACGTTTACTTCACTTCAGAACATGGACTGGAATTGGGAACCTGATGTAGCCTATTGTAGTAATGTTGTCTCTTGTATTCTGGTCTGTGAGTGTAAATGCGTTCAGGGGGCGTGGCTTTGGACGGCGATTGCAGGGAGGGTGGGACGTTCGCTTTCAGTGCTATCAGGCTAAAGTTAGCATTTTCCAAGAT